ATATTAGCTCCAAGTCTCTCTGGCTGGTAGGGTTTCTGCAGAAACAGTCACTGTTCCACTTATGGGTTCTCTTTGTAGATAACTTGGCCTTTCTCTCTGGCTGCCCTTAACATTTTTTCCTTCATTTGAAACTTGGAGAATCTGACGACTACGTGTCTTGGGGTTTCTCTTCTCGAGAAGTATCTTAGTGGGGTTCTCTCTATTTCCTGAATTTGAATGTTGGCCTGTCTTGCTGAGTTGGGGAAATTCTCCTGCATAATATTCTGACATGTGTTTTCCAAGTTGGTTGCATTCTCCCCGTCACTTTCAGGTACACCAGTCAATCGTAGGTTTGGTCTTTTCACATAGTCTCATATTCCTTGGAGGCTTTGTTTATTTCTTGTCATTCTTTTTTTTTCTCTTATCTTGTCTTCACACCTATTTCACTAAGTTTATCTTCAGTCTCTGATACACTTTCTTCCACTTGATTGATTTGGCTATTGATACTTGTCTATTCTTTACAAGGTTTTTGTGCTGCGTTTTTCAGCTCCATCAGGTCACTTATGTTCCTGTCTAAACTGATTATTGCAATTAGCAGTTCCTGTAAACTTTTATCAAGGTTCTTAGCTCCCCTGCATTGGGTTAGAACATGCTTCCTTAGCTCAGAAAAGTATGTTATTTTGGTACGCGTTGTATGGTTTTTCTGCATATGAGATTATGTTGTCTGCAAACAGATATCATTTTACTTTTTCATTTCTAATTCCTGTGCTCTTTATTTCTTCTGCGTGGCTAACGGTTCTGACTAGGTCTTTCCATTCTATTTGGAAAAGACGTGGTGAAAGTGCATCCTCGCTTTGTTCCTGAAATCACAGAAATACCTGCAGTTCTTCAGACTGCATATGATGTTAACGGAGGGAGTTTCAAAGACGGGCTTTACTCTGCTAAGGTAGTTTCCTTTTAGTTATAATTCATTGAGTGTTTTTGTCATGAAAGGGTGTGGGATTTTGTGAAATAATGTTTCTGTAGCCACCGTCTGACTGCTTTGCATCTGGAAAAGCCACTCAGCTCTCCCCCCACCCATAGCTCCTCCACTACGTGCATTGTTTAGAGAGAAGGGAACACCTTGTGTCCTTCAGAGGACAGGGGCCACTCCGCCAGAGCCACAGCAGCAGTCACCTGTGTGAGAGGGTTGGGGAGCAGAAGAGGCCCTCATGGATACACCTGTGGACTCTGCGTGAATCCATAGTAGCTGTTATCCATCCATAGTTGTGGACTGGAATCATGCTCCCCCTACCACCATGGATTCAGACATAGGGAAGGGTTCATGGACAAAGGGGAATAGACTGGAATCAGAAGCAATAGGGTAAGAGGACTAGGCTCAGGTTCCTGTGGATAATATGGGGTGACAGTTATAGGGACTCACCCTATTTGTCCCAGAGTTTGTGTCTGTGTTGATGTCTTTCTTGTTTTTGTTTTTGGGTTTTTTTTTTGATGAGTCTTTCAAGAAAGCCAGTTTTTTTTCTCACTCTGACCACCTCCAGCTGATAACCCCTCTTTTACATTGATTAGATTTGGATGGCCGTAGAGTTTCTATTAATGAACTTTAATTTAAAGAAAAGGGTGTGGAATGACTGCTTCATTCAAATCAGCCCTCTCCCCTTGTCTCCCATGCCTTCAATGATCTCAGTCCTCACGGTCACATGAACACATTTTGCAGGTGGGGTGAAGAAGGCCAGGCTAGCTGTACCCAGTTTCCTGTGAGACTGCAGCTGCTGAGCCCAGTGAACGGTGAGCGGATGACACAGGGTCACATCAGGGGCTGGCTTCTTAGCTATGGTCACCTGCAGATCCCCAGAGATAAGCCCACAGCATCCAGTGCTGTCCCAGGCCCAGACACAGTGAGTCTTTCAGTTTCTCTCTGCCTTTCTGTATTTTTTCCACTCCAAAGAGACCGCTGTGAGGGTCCTGGTGAATGTGCATCTGTACTCACTGCTGTGCACGGAATTCCTGAATCATGACATAGCTGCCTGCTCCACTCTGCTATTTGTAGTAAAGTCCTGGCATCTTGAACCTGCTGAAGGGGTTCCCTGATAGACATCAGAGCAGGGAGCCCAACTTCATAAAGGGGAACCCACCAGGAATGAAGGGCTGTGCCCAGAGCTGCCTGTTTATCCCCCACTCAAGAGTATGGCCCATTTCCAGGCTCCAAATTCTCTCCTGTAAGCGCTGTGTTCTAAGAATTGGTCTCTCCTCTGCTCTCAGCTCTCCCGCCTCCAGCATCAAATAAACCTGAAGCTGCTCTCTCACTGGACATAGGCAGAGCCAGGCTGAGTGCTTCTGTCTCTCACAGGGTACTTACGCATCCCTGGCTGAACCCCCTCTGCGTGGGGACTGAGGAGCCTCATGCATCTGGTTGTGATAGAACATGAGATTCCTTGTCCAGAGCTCAGACTGAAGCAACCCCTAGGGAGGCCCTAAATCTGCAGACTGAAGAATAATAGAAAGAATAATTAGGGAAGTGGGTAAGCATCATTTCCTGGGAATTATATCACATGCATTTAGTGCAAACTAAGGTGCTAACTTGAGAGCACCTGTGTTAAAGAAGCTCCGCCTTTGAGGTTAAGCCCCAGACCCAGCGTGAGTAAGGGAGGCTGCACCCTGCTTTGCCTCTTCCAGTTTGTGACACCGTCACAACTGAGTTTTTTTTTTCTGATATATCCTCAAGTATTTACAGTAAAATGACATCTTATCTGGGATGTGCTTTAAACAAAATTAAAAAAGGAAAAGAAACAAGTATGGCAAAATTTCATGGTAATTAAAGTTGGGTTACAGGTAAATAACAGTTCATAACATAGTTTTTCTTTCAATGAACACTTAAAGCTTTTTATAATAAATCACCCTTTCAAAAATGTTCAATGCATATTGATATCATTCAGATATTTGTCCCCTCCAGCTCTCACATTGAAATATGATCCCCAATGTTGGAAGTAGGGACTAGTGGGAGGTCTTTAGATCATGGGGCCAGATTCCTCGTGAATGGCTTGGTGCCCTCCCTGCAGTAATGAGTTCATATGAGATCTGGTTACTTAAAAGAGTCTAGAGCCTCCTTCTTCCTGCTCTCTTCCTCTCCTTCACCATGTGATATGCTGGCCTTTCTTCACCATGTAAGGTTTCCACGTAAAATAAGGGGCATCCAGTTATGTCTCTATGTAAATAAACAATATTGTCTTGGAGATAGAGATGCTTACTTCCCTTTTTCGACTCAGAGTCTCACTCTGTTTCCCAACCTGGAGTGCAGTGGCCCAGTCTCAGCTCACTGCAACCTCTGCCTCTTGGGCACAAGTGATTGTCATGCATCAATCTTCTAAGTAACTCGAATTACAGGAATGTGCCATGAGGCCCAGATAATTTTTGTATTTTTAGGATATGTGAAGGTGCACTACGCTGCTCAGACTTGGCTCAAACTCCTGGCTAAGCAATGCGGCAGCCTCAGCCTCCCAAAGTGCAGGGATGAAGGTGTGAGCCACCACACCTAGCCTACATATTGATTCTTAATCATTGTTTTACTCAGTTTAAATTTCACTGACCTCTAGTGTTTATGTTGATAAATCAGAGAACCCTGCCTTCAGGCCACACACACTTCCTCTCCAATCAGGGCCCATTGCCTGAAAAGCATTAGTAGAGTTTTTGTCAGGATTAAATGAAGTCACAGTCTCAGGAATTAAAAAGTTGTTTGTCTGTAAAAGGTTGTACATGTACTAAAGGAAACATAATGTGGTCGCCCAAAGAGACGCAGACAGACCCCCATGTTTCTACACACAGACCCTGGCTGGGAGGGAACATAAATAGCAGCATCCTGGGTCACTCCTGCTGAGAGAAACCAACAGGCCAGGAGACAGGATGTATGAGGGGAGGTGCTTTTCATAGTTCTCGTGTGGCATCTTGTTTGTGTATTACACATTCAAAATCAGGAGAACAAAACAAAATTGTCCAGCACTGGGTAGAGGCGAGTCAGTAATAGCATAAGATGTAAGCAGGGCTGCGCATCACTGGAGAGAAGATGAAATGCCTGCAGGGCTCGATACTGTTAGAGTCTCCAGGAAATGTATTGATTTTTCTAAAATCAGCAAACAGGAATATAATCTATCCTAGATGATGTATATGTGTCTATACAAATGTAAAAATAGCCACAAAAGGCAAAATGACCCAGAAACCCTCAAAGATACTAATGAGATGCAATTCAGCATCAACAGGAGAATCTTAGAAGAAGTGTGCAGGGTGAAAGAAGCCTGAACAAACGGGAGCATTATGTTTTATCACGTAACATTCCCCAAAATGAAAACCAAGCAGTAGTGACAGAGAAAGGTCTGTGGCTTCCCAGGATGCTTTGGGGGAGAGAAGGAGATGGCAAAGGTGAGGAGGAGCTGCTGGGGTTGGACACAGGTTGCATAGCTGGCGGTGGTGATGTTTTCAGGGATCCAGATAGATCTGAAAATGGGTGTCATAGTATAATGTCAATATTGGTGATTTAGTATATGTACATTATTTGTTCTTGGAAAGAATTTTATTAAAGACAATAATCCGGTGAGGAAAGAAGCAAAGGGATTCACCCTGAGGAGAAGGGAGAGAAAGCCACCAGTCTGGGGACTTCTAGAAATCAGGAAATGAGCATGATGGAGACACAGGTTCCGCATAAGAGGTGGGTCTGAGGTGACACAGGTGGAATAGCAACCTCATCCCGGGACTTCAGTGCAGACACCGTGTCCCGAGATACAGGGAACAGAACGTTTTGTTTCCTGGAGGCCCTGTTCCTAGGAGAGAGGTGCTGTGTCTGATTCTCAGAACACAAAGAGAGGCATCTACTCTCATGCAGGGCCCTCAATGCCCTGGACCATGCGGGAAGCAGCAGCAGCAGAGGCCACAGTCCACGACTGAGCAGTAGCTGTTGAGCGCTCACCCTCCTGGCAGAGGAGAAACGGGGTTCTTGTCTCACTTCCCCCTAGGCCTGGAGCACTGTGTGAGCATTCAGGTTGCTGTCATATGACTGGCAATAATAATCAGCCTCATCCGCAGACTGGAGTCCAGTGATGGCCAGGGAGGCAGAGGTGCCAGACTTGGAGCCAGAGAATCGGTCAGAAACCCCTGAGGGTCGCTGATTATTACCATAGATGAGAAGCTTGGGGGGCGTTCCTGGGAGCTGCTGGTACCAGTTTACATAAGTACTTCCGATGTTGGAGCTGCTTCCAGAACAGGAGATGGTGACCTTCTGTCCAGGGCTCCCAGACACTGAGGGCGGCTGAGTCAGCACAGACTGGGCCCAGGAGCCTGGAAGTGGGAGACACACAGGCATCATCATTCTGGGTGTAGAGACAAGAGGAGAAAGCAAGAATCCATAGGCTTCCCAGGGCCCCTCCCCTGGAGCCCATACAGTCACCTGTGGAGTGAGCCAGGACCGTGAGGAGAAGAGGAGCCCAGGCCATGCTGGAGATTGTCCTGAGTGCTGCCTTCTGTGCCACAGCTGAAGCAGAGCTTCCCCACATGTCTCCCTGCCCCTCTTCATATCTGAGAGTGGGAGGTCCATCCATGCAAATCAGACCCCCCCCAGCTTCCTAATCCCACACTGTGCCCTAGGTAAGGTCCCTATATTCGAGGATGTCAGGGGATGGCAGGGGTGGGGCACTGTGGTCCTAAGGGGTGGGGAGGACCCAGCTGTGAGCCCTGAGAAGAGGACACCAGGCAGGGTAGAGGGCTGGTTCTGCTCTAATCACCCCCAGTCTTCTCAGGAATGGTTCTCAAGCGCCTCCTGGTGTCCAGACCAACACAAACCATTTACAAGGTGACCAGAGCCTCTCAGAGACACTGCTGCCTCCCTGCTCTTCTGTTCTCTGTCCCCTCTCTGGGTCAGGCCAGGTGGTGCCTGTATCCTCTCTTTGTGACCTCAGGACTGTTCTCACACTTTACTGGGCTCCTCAGGAGTGAATCTGTCCATGGCACTCCCACTGTTTGTTGTAGAGGACTCAGGTGGTGACTACACAATGTCCTCATAGGTCAGAATCAAACCAGAGCAGGGACTGACCTTCATGAACTCACTCCCACATCGGGACCTCTCCTTTCATGTGGCTCCTCCCTGGTGGCCAGAGCTCTCCTTCCTCTGTGATCCTGCAACACTGAGTTGAAAGGGAGTTCTTTCCTCTAGGATGCCCAGCGCACATTCCCAGATGGTTATTCTGGTAAATCTGTGTTCCCTCTTCCCCAGAACTGCGGTCATAGTCATCTGGGTTCTGTGACCAGGCTCAGCAGTGTCTCACATACAGGAGAAGGTTTCCCAGTGTCCCCTCCCTGCCCGTGAATGCTCTTTCTGGTGGATGCCACATCAGCTCTTAGAGTGAGGGCAGAGAGACGAGCAGGTCCACAGCTACCTGTCCCAGTTCAGCCCCATCCTGGGGCCAGTAGAATGTACCCCTTGTGATAAGAGGTAGGTCTTTGTCAAATAGTTATTGAGCATGTATCTTTTGCTGGACATAGAGCTCAGTGTTGGAAATGCCATGTTGATCTAGAAAGCCTAATCCCTACCTTTTGTGGTTGATCCTGATAAAAACAAAAGCATAGGAGGTGCACCGGAGTCCTCTTCCATTTCCTTAATCCCTGGGTCAGAGACCAGCATAGGAGGGGCACCGGAGTCCTCTTCCATTTCCTTAATCCCTGGGTCAGAGACCAGCACAGGAGGGGCACCGGAGTCCTCTTCCATTTCCTTAATCCCTGGGTCAGAGACCAGCACAGGAGGGGCACCGGAGTCCTCTTCCATTTCCTTAATCCCTGGGTCAGAGGCCAGCATAGGAGGGGCACTGGAGTGCTCTTCCATTTCCTTAATCCCTGGGCCAGAGACCAGAGAGGCCCTGCTGCACTCCATGGTCCAGGAAGAGATGATTTGGTGGCATCAGAGAGGAAGAAAGAAGAAAAGACTGTAGGAGAACCAAGGGAGTATCAGCCTGACCTGAAGATTCCTGGGTTCAGGTGATATGCATAATCCCATAGTTCTTGGAGGCTTTGTTCATTTTTTTTCACTCTTTTTGCTCTAATCTTGCCTTCTCATTTTATTTCATTCATTTGATCTTCTATCTCTGATATCTTTTCTTCTGCTTGATCAATTTGGTCATTGAAACTTGTGTATGCCTTGTGAAGTTCTCCTGCTGTGTTTCAGCTCCATCAAGTCGTTTATGTTCTTCTCTAAGCTGGTGTTTCTAGTTAGCATTTCGTCCAATCTTTTTTGAATGTTGTTAGTTTCTTTGCATTGGGTTAGAACATGGTCTTTTAACTCAGAGAAGTTTGTTATTACCCCCCTTCTGAACCCTGCTTCTGTCAATTCGTCAGATTCATTCTCTGTCTTTTTTTTTGTTCCCTTGATGGTGAGGAATTGTGATCCCTGGGAAGAGAAGAGGTGTTCTGTTCTTTGACGGTTTCATCCTTTTTGCACTGGCTTTTTCCGATCTTCGCGGATTTGTCCCCCTTTAATCTTTGAAGTTGGTGATTTCAGGAGGAGTCTCTGAGTGGACGATTTTTTTCTGTTGAGGTTGGAGCTGTATCTTTTTTGGCCTGTAGAGGGCGATGCTGGGCCCTCGGGTTCAGTCAGGTTGCTGGGTGGGTGGTCCTCCCCTGGAGCTTGTCTGCAGGTGAGATTGGCCCCGCCTTCCCAGGTCTCTCCACCACCAGCTAGATCTTCCTGATTGGGGTCAAGCTGTTGTATTTGCTGCCCAGCTCTCTAGCGAGGGCTTCAGTTTGAGTTCTGCGGAGGTGGGGCCTGCCAGGCCTTACAGTCTGTTTCCCTGCTTTCAACTCTGCCTCCCTCTGTGGGACGGTCTGTCCAAACTCCCGCCCAGGTCCCTGTGACAACTTGCCATGCCCAGCGGCAGCTGCTGCTCAGATTTGCATCGACTACCCAGGGAGCCCAAGCATCTGGCAGGGCTCTCGTCGGCCATGGGTTGCAGGAGGGATGAGGTAAGCACAGAATCCGATTTGGAGCACCGAGGGGGTCAAGTCCCCCGGCCCTCCAAGACAGTTGCACGTTTCAGGTGGGGACGCAACCCCCCCCCCCCCCCCGTGATTTGCCCCCCTGGATAGCTCTCGCCCTGTGGCTCCTTCCCTGGGCCTATTTTCAGAGCCCTGTCAGTCCCTCGTTTGGAATGGTGAAGTCCCCTAGCCCTCTGCACCTCATTTGGTGGGAGCTACATTCCTGTGCTGGCTTCTCTCTGCCATCTTGGCGCCCCCACTACTGACAGCGTCCTTTGATGCACATAAGTTTTATAATTTAATGAAATCCAATTAATCTATATCCCCCTTTTTCTATTTTTCCTGTGCTTTTGGCATTAAGTCCGAAAAATTATTTCCAAAACCTATGTTGTGAAACTTCTTACTAGTGTTTTTTATTAAGATTTTTATAGTTGTAGCTTTTCCATTTGGGTCGTTTATCCATTTCCAGATTGCATGTGGATATACAGTTTTCTCAAAAACATTTTTTGCAGAGTCTGTTTTCTCCCTACTGAATGATCTTGACACCCTAGTTTAAAATCATTTGACCATATACCTGAGAGATTATTTATGCTGAATTCTATTCTATTTGTCTCTGTGTCTATCTGTACCACTCGGTTTTGATTGGTATAGCTTTGGAGTATGTTTTGAAATCAGGAAGCGTAAAATCTCCCACGTTCTTCTTCTCTTATAAGATTGTCTTGGTTATTTGGGGTTCCATGATATTCTACATAAATTTTACAATTAATTTTTTTTTTACTTTTGCCAAAATGATTATCGGAATTTTGATAGAGATGGAAATGAGTCTGCAGATTTGTTTTGGTTTTTATTAATATCTTACCAATATCAAGTTTTCCAATACATGAACAAAGGCTTGCTTTCCCCTTATTTTTTATTCTTTAATTTTATTTAGCAATGTTTATAGTTTTCCTTGTAAAAGTGTTTCCCCTTCTTGATTCTTAATTATTTTTTCTGATGCTGTTGTAAATTGAATTGTTAATTTTATTTTGAGTTGTGTCCTTTCTCGTTGTTTTCTGTTTGGTTGTTTGAGTATACAAATATAAGAACTCTTTTTTGTTTAAAACATATTATTATTATTATTGTTATTATTATTATTGTAGAGACAGGGTTTCATTTCATTGCCCATGCTGGTCTTGCACTGTTCATCCTCACCAACTCCTTGACCTCAGCTTCCCAAATTGCTGAAATTATAGGTATGAGCCAACATGCCTAGCCATTAGATGGTTTTGTATGTTGATGTTGTATCCTGAAACATTACCAAATTAATTTAATAGTTATTTAATTCTAACAGTTTTTTGGTGGGAGTTTTAATTTGTTTTTTTATTATACTTTAAGTTCTTGGAGACATGTGTGCAGCTTATGCAGGTTTGTTTCAGAGATAGGCATGTGCCATGGTGGTTTCCTGCTGCTGTCAATCCATTTTCTGGGTTGCAAGCCCTGCATGCATTAGGCATTTGTCCTAATGTTCTCCATTTACTTGCTCCCAACTCTCTACAGGCCCTGGTGTGTGATGTTCCTCCCCTGTGCCCATATGTTCTCATTGTTTAAGTCCCACTTATGAGTGAGAACATGCAGTGTTCAGTATTTTGTTCCAGTGTTACTTTGCTGAGAAGGATGGCTTCCAGCTTTATTCATGTCCCGACAAAGAACAGAACTCATTCCTTTTAATGGCCCCATAATATTCCATGTTGTATATATGCCACATTTTCTATATCCAGTCTATCATTGATGGGCATTTGGGTTAGTTCCAAGTCTTTGCTTTTGTAAATAGTGATACAGTAAACATACATGTGCACGTGTCTTTATAGTGGAATGATATATAATCAATCCTTTGGGTATATACCCAGTAATGAAATTACTGAGCCCAAATACTATTTCTGGTTTTAGATCCTGTGGTATCACTACACTGTCCTCCACATTGGTTGAACTAATTTACACTCCCATCAACAGTGTAACAGTGTTTCTGTTTCTCCACAGCCTCGCCAGCATCTGTGATTTTCTGACTTTTTAATAATCGCCATTCTAACTGGCATGAGATGGTATCTCATTGTGGTTTTGATTTTCATTTCTCTAATGACAAGTGATGATGGGCTGTTTTTTATATGTTTGTTGGCCACATAAATGTCTTTTATTTATTTATTTTTATTCTGAGATCCAGAGAGCCTCATGGTCAGCTAGCACTGTCCCACTGGGTTTGGGATGGGGGAAGCAGCACAATGTTTATTGGAGTCTGACCTTGGAGGACTAATTTTGTCCCTTTTCTTTTTTTTTTTTTTTTTTTAGAGAAAGAAAAAGAGGGAAAAAGAAATATTACTTCATTCCTAAAATAGGTGTCAATAATGGCCAATCAATATTTTGTGTGTTTAAAGTGGATAATGTTTATTTTGTGTGTTTAAAATGGAGAGCTCTATTGAGTTTATTGTTCTGGTTCTGAGTTCAAGTCCTGGATATCGTTATCAAGTTTCTGTCTCGTTGAATCTAAATCTCATTATGGGTCTTATGTATCTGGGTGTTAAGATCTCTTATTATTACATTAATCCTTTTACCCTTGTATCCTTGTAGCTTTAAAATCTATTTTATTAATTATGAGAATTGCAACTCCTGCTTTTTATTTATTTATTTTTGCTCTCCATTTGGTTGGTAAGTTTTTTTCCAACCCTTTATTTTGAGTCTTTGTATATCTTTAGATATACCATTAGATTTTGTCTGTATCTTTTGATTGGGAGATTTAGTTGATTTAAATTTAGGGTTACTGCCATTTGATATTAACTGGCTATCTTATCCTTTCGTTGATGTAAATTCTTCTTTATGTTAATGCTCTTTACTTTTTGGTGTATTTTTAGAAAGGCTCATACTGGTTTTTCCTTTCTATATATAATGCTTCTTTTAGAAGTTCTTGTAAAGCAGGCCTGGTGGTAATAAAATCTCTGAGTACTTGCTTGTTCCTAAAAGATTTTATGTTTCCTTCAATTGTAAAGCTTAAATTGGCAGGATATGAAATTCTGGGCTGAAAGTTCTGTTCTTTAAGTATATTGAATATTGGCCCCCACTCTCTTCTAGCTTGCAGGGTTTCCGCTGAGAGATCTGCTGTAAGCCTGATAGGCTTCCCTTTATGGGTAACCTGATCTTTCCCTCTGGCTGCCCTTAATATTTTCTCCTTCGTTTCGATCCTGGTGAATCTAACGATTATGTGCCTTGGGGTTGGTCTTCTTGAAGAATATCTTTGTGGTGTTCTCTGTATTGCCTGGGGTTGAATAGTGTCCTGCTTTGCCAAGTTGGGAAAATTTTCCTGGATAATGTCCTCAAAAGTGTTTTCCAGCTTGAATTCATTCTCTCCATCATATTCAGGTACACCAATCAAACGTATATTAGGTCTTTTCACATAATCCCATATTTCTTGGAGACTTTGCTCATTCCTTTTTATCCTTTTTTCTCTATTCTTGTCGTTTTATTTTATTAAGTTGGTCTTCGACCTCTGATATCCTTTCTTCTGCTTGATCCATTCGGCTATTTAAGATTGTACATATTTCACTAAATTCTTGTGTTGTATTTTTCAATTCCATAAGTTCATTTGTATTCCTCTGTATATTGTCTATTCTTTTCATCATTTCATCGAACCTTTTTTCAAAGTTCTTGGTTTCTTTACATTGGGTTAGAACAAGTTCCTTTAACTCCCAGAAGTTTCTTATCATCCACCTTTTAAAGCCTACTTCAGATAATGGAACACAGTCCTTTTCCATCAGGACTTGTACTGTTGCTGATGAGTCCTTTTCCATCAGGGCTTGTTCCGTTGCTGATGAGTCCTTTTCCATCAGGGCTTGTTCCGTTGCTGATGGGTTCTGATTTTGGATATACTCGGCCTTCTTAGGCTGTTTTTTTCCCTTCATGGTAGATGAACCGCCTTTCTAATTAGGTTTCTGAGTCGACGTCCGATTTATTGATTCCCAGTGCTGGGATCCGAGCCACCCACTGTGGCGGCCTAAATAGGAGCGATAAGACTGATGGTGCTCTTCTGCCCGGGAATCTCTGGTCTGGCTTCCCTCTTGAGTCCGCAACAAGCGGCTCCGACTTCCCGGAGCTCCAAACTCCGGTCAGTAGGGGAAGCGGTCCCGTTTGCTCTGCTTGAAGAGCTGCTGCATGGAGGCGCCAGCAAAACCGCTGCGGCGGCCACGAGAGTCGCGCTGGCGACCCGTGGGGCTCCTCCACTGGGAATCGGCTGATCCGTAAGTGACGAGAATTCATCTAAAAGTGTGGCGTCGTCTTGTTCTCTGCTTTCACTGGGAGCTACAATCCCGAGCTGTTAGTGATCGGCCATCTTGGATCATTAGCCACATAAATGTCTTCTTTTGAGAAGTGTCTGTTCATATCTGTCACCCATTTTTTTTGATGGGGTTGTTTGTTTCTTTCTTGTACATTTGTTTAAGTTTCTTGTGGATTCTAAATATTAGACCTTTGTCAGATGGGTAGCTTGCAAAAATTTTCTCCCATTCTGTAGGTGGCCTGTTCACTCTGATGATAGTTTCTTTTACTGTGAGGAGCTATTTAGTTTGATTATATAACATTTTAAAATGTTGGCTTTTGTTCAATCAGCTTTGGTGTTTTAGTCACAAAGTATTTGCCCATGCCTATGTCCTGAATGCTATCACCTAGGTTTTCTCCTAGGGTTTTTGTGGGGTTTGGGAGTTTACATTTAAGTCCTTAATCCAGCTTGAGTTAATTTCTCGATAAGGTGTAAGGAAGTGGTCCAGTTTCTGTTTTCTGCCTATGGCTAATCAGTTTTCTCAGCACCATTTATTAAATAGGGAATCCTTTTCCCGTTACTTGTTTTAGTCACATTTGTCAAAGATAACTGTAGATGTATGGTTTTAATTCTGCAGCTTCTGTTCTATTTCATTGGTCTATATATCTGTTTTGGTACAAGTACCATGCTGTTTTTGTTATGGTAGCCTGGTAGTGTAGTTTGAGGTTAGGTAGCTTGAAGCCTCCAGCTTTTTTGGTTCCATATAAAATTTAAAGTAGTTTCTTCTACTGCAAAGAGAGTCAGTGATATTTTGATGGGGATAGCATTGAATCTCTAAATTACTTTGGGCAATATGACCATTTTTATAATATTGATTCTTTTTATCCATGAGAATGGAGTCTTTTTCCATTTGTTTGTGTCCTCTTTTATTTCCTTGAGCAGTAGTTTGCAGTTCTCCTGAAGAGGTCCTTCACATCCCTGGTAAGTTGTATTCCTAGGTATTTTATTTTCTTTGTAGCGAGTGGGAATGAGAGTTCACTTATAATTTGGCTTCCTGCTTGTCTTATTTCTGTTGTGTAGAAATCCTTGTGATTTTTACACATTGATTTTGTATCCTGACACTTTGCTGAATTTGCTTTTTAGTTTAAAGAGTTTTGGGGCTAAGATGATTGAGTTTTCTAAGTATATAATCATGTTATCTGCAAACAGAGACAATTTGACTTCCTCCCTTCCTATACAAATACCCTTTATTTTTTGTCTTGCCTGATTGCCCTTGCCAGAACTTCCAATAACATGTTGAATAGGAGTGGTGAGAGAGGGCATCCTTGTCTCGTGCTGGTTTTTCAAAGGGAATGCTTCCAGCTTTTGCCCATTCAGTAATATATTGGCTATAGGTTTGTCATAAATAGCTGTTATGATTTTGAGATAGGTTCCATCAACACCTAGTTTATTGAGAGTCTCCAGAAGAAAAAGATGTTGAATTTTGTGAAAGGCTTTTTCTGCATTTATTGAAATATCTTGTGATTTTTATCTTTTGTTCTGTTTATGTGATGGATGATGTTTATTTATTTGTGTATGTTGAACCAGCCTTGCATCCCAGTGATGAAGCTAACTTGATCATGGTGAATAAGCTTTTTGATGTGCTGCTAGATTCGGTTTGCCAGTAGATTACAGAGAATTTTCGCATTGATGTTCATCAAGGATACTGACCTGATTTTTGTTGTTGTTGTTATATCTCTGCCATATTTTGATATCAGGATGATGCTGGCCTCATAAAATGATATAGAGTGAAGTCTCTCTTTTTCTATTGTTTGGAATAGATTCTGAAGGAATGGTATCAGCGTCTCTTGGTACCTCTGGTAAAATTTGGCTGTGAATCTGTCTGGTCCTGGGCTTTTTTTAGGGGTGGGGGCGGAGTTTGTAAGCTATTAATTAGTGCCTCAATTCCAGAACTTGTTATTGGTCTCTTCAGGGATTCAACCTCTTTTTCGTTTAATCTTCGGAGGGTGTATATGTCCAAAAATTTATCCATTTCTTTTAGATTTTCTAGTTTATTTGCATAGAGGTGTTTGGTGTATTCTCTGAGGGTATTTCTATTTCTATGGGATCAGTGGTGATATCTTGTTTATCTTTTTTTATTGTGTCTATTTGATTCTTCACTTTATTAGTTGAGCTAGTGGTCAATCTATATTGCTAATCCTTTAACAACCAGCTTCTGGATTCATTGATTTTTTGAAGGGTTTTTCTGTTTCTGTCTCCTTCAGTTCTGCTTTGATCTTGGTTATTTCTTATCTTCTGCTAGCTTTTTAATTTGTTTGCTCTTGCTTCTCTAGTTTCTTTAATTGTGATGTTAGGCTGTTAACTTTAGATCTTTCTTGTTTTTGATGTGGGCATTTAGTGCTATAAATTTTCCTCGAAACACTGCTTTAGCAATGTCCCAGAGATTCTCCTACATTGTCTCTTTGTTCTTATTGTTTTCAAACAACTTCTTTATTTCTGCCTTAATTTCATTATTTACACCGTAGTCATTCAGGAGCAGGTTGTTCCATTTTTGTTCAGTTGTGTGGATTTGAGTGAGTTTCTTAATCCTGAGAGGTAATTTGATTGTACAGTGGTCTCAGAGACTTTTTTTTGTAATTTCTATTCCTTTGCATTTGCTGAGTGTTTTACTTCCAATTATGTGGTCGATTTTAGAATATGTGCTATGTGACGCTGAGAAGAATGTATATTCTCTTAATTTGTGGTGGAGAGTTTTGTAAATACCTAATTAGGTCCACATGGTCCAGATCTGAGTATATGTCCTCTCTTATTTCCTTGAGCAGTGGTTTGTTCTCCTTGAAGAGGTCCTTCATATCTCTTGTAAGTTGTATTCCTAGGTATTTTATTATCTTTGTAGGAATTGGCAATGGGAGTTCACTCATGATTTGGCTCTCTGCTTGTCTACTGCTGGTATGTGAGAATGCTTGTGATTTTTGCACATTGATTTCATATCCTGAGACTTTGCTGAAGTTGCTTATCAGCTTAACGAGGTTTTGGGATGAGATGACGGGGTTTTCTAAGAATGAGATATCCTTGTTAATTTTCTGTCTCATTGATCTGTACAATATTGACAGTGGGGTGCTAATGTCTTCCACTGTTATTGTCTGGGAGTCTAAGTCTCTTTGTAGGTCTCTAAGAACTTGGGTTTGAATCTGAGTGCTCCTGTATTGGGTACGTATGTACTTAGCATAGTTAGTTCTTCTTGTTGCATTGATTCCTTTATCATTCTGTAATGCCATTCTTTGAATTATTTTATCTTTGTTGGTTTATAGTTTGTTTTATCAGAGACTAAGATTGCAACCCCTACTTTCTTTTGCTTTGCATTAGCTTAGTCAATATTTCACCATTGTTTTATTTTGAGCCTATGTGTGTCTTTGCACATGGGATGTGTCTCCTGAATACAGTACACCAAAGGGTCTTGACTCTATCCAATTTGTGAGTCTGTGTTTTTTAATTGGAGGAATTTAGCCTATTTAAATTTAAAATTAACATTGTTATGTGTGATTTTGATTCTGTCATGATGATGCTAGCTGGTTCTTTTTCACATTAGTTGATGCAGTATTTTCATAGTGTCATTGGGTTTTCCATTTTGGTGTGTTTTTGCAGTGGCTGGAACCAGTTTTTTCCTTCTATATTTAGTGCTTTCTTCAGGAGCTCTTGTAAGGCAGGACTGGTGGTGACAAAATCCCTCAGCATTTGCTTATCTGTATAGGATTTTATTTCTCCTTCACTTATGAAGAGGAGTTGGGCTACATATGACGTTCTGGTTTAAAAATTCTTTTCTTTAAAAATGTTGAATATTAGCTTTGGGTCTCTCTGGCTGGTAGGGTTTCTGCAGAAACAGTCACTGTTCCACTTATGGGTTCTCTTTGTAGATAACCTGGCCTTTCTTTCTGGCTGCCCTTAACATTTTTTCCTTCATTTGAAACTTGGAGAATCTGACGACTACGTGTCTTGGGGTTTCTCTTCTCGAGAAGTATCTTAGTGGGGTTCTCTCTATTTCCTGAATTTGAATGTTGGCCTGTCTTGCTGAGTTGGGGAAATTCTCCTGCATAATATTCTGACATGTGTTTTCCAAGTTGGTTGCATTCTCCCCGTCACTTTCAGGTACACCAGTCAATCGTAGGTTTGGTCTTTTCACATAGTCTCATATTCCTTGGAGGCTTTGTTTATTTCTTGTCATTCTTTTTTTTTCTCTTATCTTGTCTTCACACCTATTTCACTAAGTTTATCTTCAGTCTCTGATACACTTTCTTCCACTTGATTGATTTGGCTATTGATACTTGTCTATTCTTTACAAGGTTTTTGTGCTGCGTTTTTCAGCTCCATCAGGTCACTTATGTTCCTGTCTAAACTGATTATTGCAATTAGCAGTTCCTGTAAACTTTTATCAAGGTTCTTAGCTCCCCTGCATTGGGTTAGAACATGCTTCCTTAGCTCAGAAAAGTATGTTATTTTGGTACGCGTTGTATGGTTTTTCTGCATATGAGATTATGTTGTCTGCAAACAGATATCATTTTACTTTTTCATTTCTAATTCCTGTGCTCTTTATTTCTTCTGCGTGGCTAACGGTTCTGACTAGGTCTTTCCATTCTATTTGGAAAAGACGTGGTGAAAGTGCATCCTCGCTTTGTTCCTGAAATCACAGAAATACCTGCAGTTCTTCAGACTGCATATGATGTTAACGGAGGGAGTTTCAAAGACGGGCTTTACTCTGCTAAGGTAGTTTCCTTTTAGTTATAATTCATTGAGTGTTTTTGTCATGAAAGGGTGTGGGATTTGTAAAATAATTTTTCTGTAGCCACCGTCTGACTGCTTTGCATCTGGAAGAGCCAATCTGCTCTCCCCCCACCCATAGCTCCTCCACTACGTGCATTGTTTAGAGAGAAAGAAAACCTTGTGTCCTTCAGAGGACAGGGGCCACTCCGCCAGAGCCACAGCAGTAGTCACCTGTGTGAGAGGGTTGGGAAGCAGAAGAGGCCCTCATGGATACACCTGTGGACTCTGCTTGAATCCATAGTAGCTGTTACCCATCCAGAGATGTGGACTGGGATCATGCTCCTGCTACCACCCTGGATTCAGACATAGGCAAGGGTGCATGGACAAAGGGGAATAGACCGGAGTCAGAAGCAGTTGGCTCAGGCTCCTGTGGATAATATGGGGTGACAGTTATAGCGACTCACCCCGTTTGTCCCAGAGTTTATGTCTGTGTTGATGAGTCCTTTTTTTTTTATTTTTTTTTTTTTGATGAGTCTTTCAAGAAAGCCAGTTTTTTTCTCACTCTGATCACCTCCAGGTGATAATGCCTCTTTTAAGTTGATTAGATTTGGATGGCCGTAGAGTTTCCATTAATGAACTTTAATTTAAAGAAAAGGGTGTGGAATGACTGCTTCATTCAAATAAGCCCCTCTTCCCTTGTCTCCCATGCCTTCAATGATCTCAGTCCTGACCATCACATGAACACATTTTGCAGGTGGGGTGAAGAAGGCCAGGCTAGCTGTACCCAGTTTCCTGTGAGAATGCAGCTGCTGAGCCCAGTGAACGGTGAGCGGATGACACAGGGTCACATCAGGGGCTGGCTTCTTAGCTATGGTCACCTGCAGATCCCCAGAGATAAGCCCACAGCATCCAGTGCTGTCCCAGGCCCAGACACAGTGAGTCTTTCAGTTTCTCTCTGCCTTTCTATATTTCTTCCATTCCAAAGAGACCGCTGTGAGGGTCCTGGTGAATGTGCATCTGTACTCACTGCTGTGCACAGAACTCCTGAATCATGACATAGCTGCCTGCTCCACTCTGCTATTTGTAGTAAAGTCCTGGGATCTTGAACCTACTTAAGGGGTTCCCTGATGGACATCAGAGCAGGGAGCCCAACTTGATGAAAGGGAACCCACCAGGAATGAAGGGCTGTGCCCAGAGCTGCCTGTTTCTTCCCCACTCAAGAGTATGGCCCATTTCCAGGCTCCAAACTTCTCTCCTGTAAGCTGTGTGTTCTAAGAATTGGTCTCTCCTCTGCTCTCAGCTCTCCCGCCTCCAGCATCAAATAAACCTGAAGCTGCTCTCTCACTGGACATAGGCAGAGCCAGGCTGAGTGCTTCTGTCTCTCACAGGGTACTTACGCATCCCTGGCTGAACCCCCTCTGCGTGGGGACTGAGGAGCCTCATGCATCTGGTTGTGATAGAACATGAGATTCCTTGTCCAGAGCTCAGACTGAAGCAACCCCTAGGGAGGCCCTAAATCTGCAGACTGAAGAATAATAGAAAGAATAATTAGGGAAGTGGGTAAGCATCATTTCCTGGGAATTATATCACATGCATTTAGTGCAAACTAAGGTGCTAACTTGAGAGCACCTGTGTTAAAGAAGCTCCGCCTTTGAGGTTAAGCCCCAGACCCAGCGTGAGTAAGGGAGGCTGCACCCTGCTTTGCCTCTTCCAGTTTGTGACACGGTGTAAGGTTTCCACGTAAAATAAGGGGCACCCAGTTATTTCTCTATGTAAATAAACAATATTGTCTTGGAGATAGAGATGCTTACTTTCCTTTTTCAACTCAGAGTCTCACTCTGTTTCCCCACCTGGAGTGCAGTGGCCCAGTCTCAGCTCACTGCAACCTCTGCCTCTTGGGCACAAGTGATTGTCATGCATCAATCTTCTGAGTAACTCGAATTACAGGAATGTGCCATGAGGCCCAGATAATTTTTGTATTTTTAGGATATGTGAAGGTGCACTACGCTGCTCAGACTTGGCTCAAACTCCTGGCTAAGCAATGCAGCAGCCTCAGCCTCCCAAAGTGCAGGGATGAAGGTGTGAGCCACCACACCTAGCCTACATATTGACTCTTAATCATTGTTTTACTCAGTTTAAATTTCACTGACCTCTAGTGTTTATGTTGATAAATCAGAGAACCCTGCCTTCAGGCCACACACACTTCCTCTCCAATCAGGGCCCATTGCCTGAAAAGCAATAGTAGAGTTTTTGTCAGGATTAAATGAAGTCACAGTCTCAGGAATTAAAAAGTTGTTTGTCTGTAAAAGGTTGTACATGTACTAAAGGAAACATAATGTGGTCGCCCAAAGAGACGCAGACAGACCCCCATGTTTCTACACACAGACCCTGGCTGGGAGGGAACATAAATAGCAGCATCCTGGGTCACTCCTGCTGAGAGAAACCAACAGGCCAGGAGACAGGATGTATGAGGGGAGGTGCTTTTCATAGTTCTCGTGTGGCATCTTGTTTGTGTATTACACATTCAAAATCAGGAGAATAAAACAAAATTGTCCAGCACTGGGTAGAGGCGAGTCAGTAATAGCATAAGATGTAAGCAGGGCTGCGCATCACTGGAGAGAGAAGATGAAATGCCTGCAGGGCTCGATACTGTTAGAGTCTCCAGGAAATGTATTGATTTTTCTAAAATCAGCAAACAGGAATATAATCTATCCTAGATGATGTATATGTGTCTATACAAACGTAAAAATAGCCACAAAAGGCAAAATGACCCAGAAATCCTCAAAGGTACTAATGAGCCCTTTATGGGATGAGATGCAATTCAGCATCAACAGGGAGAATCTCAGAAGAAGTGTGCAGAGTGAAAGAAGCCTGGACAAATGGGAGCATCATGTTTGATCACCTAACATTCCCCAAAATGAAAACCAAGCAGTAGTGATAGAGAAAGATCTGAGGCTTCCCGGATGCTTTGGGGGAGAGAAGGAGATGGCAAAGGTGAGGAGGAGCTGCTGGGGTTGGACACAGGTTGCATAGCTGGTGGTGGTGATGTTTTCAGGGATGCAGATAGATCTGAAAATGGGTGTAATAGTATAATGTCAATATTGATGGTTTATTATATGTACGTTATTCCTTCTTGGAAAGAATTTTAATAAGGAGAATACGCTGGGGAGAAAAGAGGCAAAGGGATTCACCCTGAGGAGAAGGGAGAGAAAGCCACCAGTCTGGGAACTTCTGGAAATCAGGAAATGAGCATGATGGAGACACAGGTTCCACCTAGGAGGTGGGTCTGAGGTGACACAGCTGGAACAGCAACCTCATCCCGGGACTTCAGTGCAGACACCGTGTCCCAAGATACAGGGAACAGAACGTTTTGTTTCCTGTAAGCCCTGTTCCTAGGAGAGAGGTGCTGTGTCTGATTCTCAGAACACAAGAAAAGAGAAGCCTATACTCCCAGGCAGGGCCCCGGATGCCCTGGACCATGGGGGAAACCAGCAGCAGGAGCCACAGGCCACAACTGAGCAGCAGCTGTTGAGTGTTCACCCTCTTGGCAGAGGAGAAAGGGGGTTCTTGTCTCACTTCCCCCTGGGTCTGGAGCACTGTGTGAGCATTCAGGTTGCTGTCATATGACTGGCAATAATAATCAGCCTCATCCACAGACTGGAGTCCAGTGATGGCCAGGGAGGCAGAGGTGCCAGACTTGGAGCCAGAGAATCGGTCAGAAACCCCTGAGGGTCGCTGATTATTACCATAGATGAGAAGTTTGGGGGCCATTCCTGGGAGCTGCTGGTACCATTGCACAGTATACACCCCGATGTTGGAGCTGCTTCCAGAACAGGAGATGGTGATCCTCTGCCCAGGGTTCCCAGACACTGAGGGCGGCTGAGTCAGCACAGACTGGGCCCAGCATCCTGGAAGTGGGAGACACACAGGCATCATCATTCTGGGTGTAGAGACAAGAGGTGAAAGCAAGAATCCATAGGCTTCCCAGGGCCCCTCCCCTGGAGCCCATACAGTCACCTGTGGAGTGAGCCAGGACCGTGAGGAGGAGAGGAGCCCAGGCCATGCTGGAGATTGTCCTGAGTGCTGCCTTCTGTGCCACAGCTGAAGCAGAGCTTCCCCAAATGTCTCCCTGCCCCTCTTCATATCTGAGAGTGGGAGGTCCATCCATGCAAATCAGACCCCCCAGCTTCCTAATCCCTCCCTGAGCCCTAGGCTAGGTCCCTATGCCTGAGGATGTCAGGGAGTGGCAGGGTGGGGCATTGTGGTCCTAAGGGGTGGGGAGGACCCAGCTGTGAGCCCTGAGAAGAGGACATCAGGCAGGGAAGAGGGCTGGTTCTGCGCTAATCACCCCCAGTCTTCTCAGGAATGGTTCTCAAGCGCCTCCTGGTGTCCAGACCAACACAAACCATTTACAAGGTGACCAGAGCCTCTCAGAGACACTGCTGCCTCCCTGCTCTTCTGTTCTCTGTCCCCTCTCTGGGTCAGGCCAGGTGGTGCCTGTATCCTCTCCCTGTGACCTCAGGACTGTACTCACACTTTACTGGGCTCCTCAGGAGTGAATCTGTCCATGGCGCTCCCACTGTTTATTGTAGAGGACTCAGGTGGTGACTACACAACATCCTCATAGGTGAGAATCAAACCAGAGCAGGGACTGACCTTCATGAACTCACTCCCACATCGGGACCTCTCCTTTCATGTGGCTCCTCCCTGGTGGCCAGAGCTCTCCTTCCTCTGTGATCCTGCAGCACTGAGTTGAAAGGGAACTCTTTCCTCTAGGATGCCCAGCGCACATTCCCAGATGGTTATTCTGGTAAATCTGTGTTCCCTCTTCCCCAGAACTGCGGTCATAGTCATCTGGGTTCTGTGACCAGGCTCAGCAGTGTCTCACATACAGGAGAAGGTTTCCCAGTGTCCCCTCCCTGCCCGTGAATGCTCTTTCTGGTGGATGCCACATCAGCTCTTAGGGTGAGGGCAGAGACATGAGCAGGTCCACAGCTACCTGTCCCAGTTCAGCCCCATCCTGGGGCCAGTAGAATGTGCCCCATGTGATAAGAGGTAGGTCTTTGTCAAATAGTTATTGAGCATGTATCTTTTGCTGGACATAGAGCTCAGTGTTGGCAATGCCATGTTGATCTAGAAAGCCTAATCCCTGCCTTTTGTGGTTGATCCTGATAAAAACAAAAGCATGGGAGGGGCACTGGAGTCCTCTTCCATTTCCTTAATCCGTGGGTCAGAGACCAGCATAGGAGGGGCACCGGAGTCCTCTTCCATTTCCTTAATCCCTCAGTCAGAGACCAGAGAGGCCCTGCTGCACTCCAGGGTCCAGGAAGAAATGATTTGGTGGCATCAGAGAGGAAGAAAGAAGAAAAGACTGTAGGAGAACCAAGGGAGTATCAGCCTGACCTGAAGATTCCTGGGTTCAGGTGATATGCATAATCCCATAGTTCTTGGAGGCTTTGTTCATTTTTTTTCACTCTTTTTGCTCTAATCTTGCCTTCTCATTTTATTTCATTCATTTGATCTTCTATCTCTGATATCTTTTCTTCTGCTTGATCAATTTGGTCATTGAAACTTGTGTATGCCTTGTGAAGTTCTCCTGCTGTGTTTCAGCTCCATCAAGTCGTTTATGTTCTTCTCTAAGCTGGTGTTTCTAGTTAGCATTTCGTCCAATCTTTTTTGAATGTTGTTAGTTTCTTTGCATTGGGTTAGAACATGGTCTTTTAACTCAGAGAAGTTTGTTATTACCCCCCTTCTGAACCCTGCTTCTGTCAATTCGTCAGATTCATTCTCTGTCTTTTTTTTTGTTCCCTTGATGGTGAGGAATTGTGATCCCTGGGAAGAGAAGAGGTGTTCTGTTCTTTGACGGTTTCATCCTTTTTGCACTGGCTTTTTCCGATCTTCGCGGATTTGTCCCCCTTTAATCTTTGAAGTTGGTGATTTCAGGAGGAGTCTCTGAGTGGACGATTTTTTTCTGTTGAGGTTGGAGCTGTATCTTTTTTGGCCTGTAGAGGGCGATGCTGGGCCCTCGGGTTCAGTCAGGTTGCTGGGTGGGTGGTCCTCCCCTGGAGCTTGTCTGCAGGTGAGATTGGCCCCGCCTTCCCAGGTCTCTCCACCACCAGCTAGATCTTCCTGATTGGGGTCAAGCTGTTGTATTTGCTGCCCAGCTCTCTAGCGAGGGCTTCAGTTTGAGTTCTGCGGAGGTGGGGCCTGCCAGGCCTTACAGTCTGTTTCCCTGCTTTCAACTCTGCCTCCCTCTGTGGGACGGTCTGTCCAAACTCCCGCCCAGGTCCCTGTGACAACTTGCCATGCCCAGCGGCAGCTGCTGCTCAGATTTGCATCGACTACCCAGGGAGCCCAAGCATCTGGCAGGGCTCTCGTCGACCATGGGTTGCAGGAGGGATGAGGTAAGCACAGAATCCGATTTGGAGCACCGAGGGGGTCAAGTCCCCCGGCCCTCCAAGACAGTTGCACGTTTCAGGTGGGGACACCCCCCCCACCGTGATTTGCCCCCCTGGATAGCTCTCACCCTGTGGCTCCTTCCCTGGGCCTATTTTCAGAGCCCTATCAGTCCCTCGTTTGGAATGGTGAAGTCCCCTAGCCCTCTGCACCTCATTTGGTGGGAGCTACATTCCTGTGTTGGCTTCTCTCTGCCATCTTGGCGCCCCACCACTGACAGCATCCTTTGATGCACATAAGTTTTATAATTTAATGAAATCCAATTAATCTATATCCCCCTTTTTCTATTTTTCCTGTGCTTTTGGCATTAAGTCCGAAAAATTATTTCCAAAACCTATGTTGTGAAACTTCTTACTAGTGTTTTTTATTAAGATTTTTATAGTTGTAGCTTTTCCATTTGGGTCGTTTATCCATTTCCAGATTGCATGTGGATATACAGTTTTCTCAAAAACATTTTTTGCAGAGTCTGTTTTCTCCCTACTGAATGATCTTGACACCCTAGTTTAAAATCATTTGACCATATACCTGAGAGATTATTTATGCTGAATTCTATTCTATTTGTCTCTGTGTCTATCTGTACCACTCGGTTTTGATTGGTATAGCTTTGGAGTATGTTTTGAAATCAGGAAGCGTAAAATCTCCCACGTTCTTCTTCTCTTATAAGATTGTCTTGGTTATTTGGGGTTCCATGATATTCTACATAAATTTTACAATTAATTTTTTTTTTTACTTTTGCCAAAATGATTATCGGAATTTTGATAGAGATGGAAATGAGTCTGCAGATTTGTTTTGGTTTTTATAAATATCTTACCAATATCAAGTTTTCCAATACATGAACAAAGGCTTGCTTTCCCCTGATTATTTATTCTTTAATTTCATTTAGCAATGTTTATAGTTTTCCTTGTAAAAGTGTTTCCCCTTCTTGATTCTTAATTATTTTATTTTTTCTGATGCTGTTGTAAATTGAATGGTTAATTTTATTTTGAGTTGTGTCCTTTCTTGTTGTTTTCTGTTTGGTTGTTTGAGTATACAAATATAAGAACCCTTTATTTGTTAAAGATATATTATTATTGGGTGAAGATTTCCAACATGGTGTGGTAGGAACAACTCAGGATTGCAGCTTTCAGTGAAGGCGCAAAGGGTGAGTTCTACCCGCATTTCCAGACGGATCTTTGTTGCCCACAGAACGGGGAAATTCCCAGGTGTAGGAGAGACACGGGACGCCAGCGCAGCCCTTTCAGCTTGCGCGGCTGTTTCAGCCGGTGCCGCAGCACAGCGGCACCCCGCACAAAACGCACTGATCTTGGTGCCCTGTTAAACTGGCAATCTGAGATTTGGGAGGGCAGATTAACATATCCATCTGATTAAACGGGTCTTGGACAGTGAGCCAGACCAGGAGATTCCCAGGAAGTGACATTGGAGCCTGTGCAGTGGGTTGCTGCACAGGAAATCACACAGATCCCAGTGCCCTATCAGCAGACGACTGAAACAGCTGTGAGAGAGTCAACCATTCAACTTTAAAAAAAAGAGAAAAAGGGCTCTGAGGCAGGGAGCCAGGTGATCAGGCTCGGCGGGTCCCACCCCCACAGCGACAAACAAAACGGCGATTCGAAACACTCGGGGTTGAGAGTCACTGCGGGCTCACCTGAATCCAGGATGGTGCAGCTCAGTGGGGGAGGGGCATCCGCCACTACCGAGGCATTCCGCCCTTACTGAGGTACACTCCCATTGCTGACGCAGCCTGCCGTTGCCGAGGCAACCCGCCATAACAGAGAGACTCCACCAACAGGGCAGAGCCCATGACAGCAGGGCAGAGCCCACGGCAACAGGGCAGAGTCCACGACAGCAGGGCAGAGCCCATGGCAGCAGGGAGGAGCCCACGGCAACTGAGCGGACCCCACGGCAGCCGGGCAGAACCTCAGCAGGCAGTGACTAGACTGCCTCCTAGCTGGGCAAGACAGTGCAATGGATACTCATAAAGAAAGCCCTAACTCCCCGAGACAGAGCATCTGAGGAAAAAAAAAGGGATTTTTGAAGTTCTGCTGCAGCACACCTAAATGCACCTGCCTAACAGCCCTGAATGAACAACAGAGCTCACAGCTCAGCACTTGAGCTCCTATAAAATACAGTCTGTCTCCTCAAGCAGCTCCCTGACCCCTGTATATCCAAAGAGTCACCTCAAAAAGGACTGATCAGACTGACATTTGGTGGGCATCATTCTGGGACAAAGATAGCAGAAGAAGAAACTGGTAGTATGCCTCACTGTTCCGCAGCTGCTACAGGTGTACCCCAGACAAGCAGGGCCTGGAGTGGACCTCAGCAGTTGTACAGCAGAGGGGCTAGACTGTTAGAAGGAAAACTAAGTAACAGAAATACTTCATCATCAACAATCTGGGCATCCATTCAGAGACCCAATCGAAAAGTCAGCAACTACTCAGACGACAGGTGGATAAATTCACAAAGATGGGAAGAAACCAACGAAAAAAGGAGGAAAACACCCGAAACCAAAACACCTCACCTCCTACAAAGGACCAAAACTCCTCACCAGCAAGGGAACAAAGCTGGATGGAGAATGAGTGTGACGAAATCACAGAATCAGACTTCAGAAGGTGGATAATGAGAAACTTCTGTGAGCTAAAAGAACATGTTCCAAATCA